GATCTTTTGAGATTCATTGAACTGTTCAATGGCATGTTTCAATCTCGAGTGTGCCCTTCAGGTTTTGTGACTGGGATGCCGAGGATCACAAAACAAGGTGTGAAGTAACCATGCAAATTACTTGGTACCCTTAAGTGTTTACCCCTCAATCGATGTGCCGGTTAACCACACACGCTCCATCGATACTATGATAAACATTAGTCACCCTTTACCTACCTTGTTAAGTCCAAGTTAGTGTGCCGGTTAACCACACACGCTCCACTAACGACTTGTAAAGTGTAATTTCATGGATTAGCACCTTATTCACATTTTCCTAAGTAACTAAGATTGGGTATTATTAAGAGTTTAGTTACTTAGTATTTATCATTAATACTTTTAATGAAGGGAGAATTATAGTCCTGTCAAACCCGTTCGGCTAACGACCCTCCACCAGTCAAGCAAGCGGTGGGTGAGAGTGGACACCCATTAAGTTGCCATTTTATAGGCAACAACCTTATACCCACCTTATAGACCGGCTTCGTGAATGAGGCGTACTAGCGGTAAGACGACTTTACTCTTATACATATATATATATATATATATATATATATATATATATATATATATATATACTTATAATATTATAAAGTATAAGGGTTGAATTTTAACTTTTAAAATTCTAAGGGCTAACTTGGAATTAAAGTATTCATAAGAGAAAACTTTACAAATTCCAAAACTTGAGGGCAAGTTTTGAAACTATTCAAAACTAATTAATTCCATAACTTATGTGTTTAAAGTAGTTTTAATCCAAAAACTCTTCAAGTTCCATAACTTGAGGACAAGTTATGGAAGACTTTAAACTAATAAAAGAATTAACTTTTCTTTATTTTATAACTTATGGAATTAATTAAGGTTACACTTTTTTTTATTTATTTTTATTTTTTTTATTTAATGAAGAGACTCTTGGTCCTCCATAACTTGAGGACAAATTATGGAGTCATAACTCCAATTAATTAGAACTAGACTCTTCATTTTTGTAACCTTTGCCAATTTTATGAGTTTTATGAGTCTTTAATGTGACTCTTCATGTAACTTGAGGACAAGTTACACAAACACATTTTATACTCAACTCTTAGATTAAAATGGATTGAAAGCAACTATTTCAATTAACTTTTCTATTAATCTAAGCAACTCATAAGAACAAGATAATTCAAATCAAACTTTTTCATGTAATTAGTCTAACCTTTAAACTAATACAAAACATGAATCTATTGACAATTATCTTTGAAAATGGATTAGAATGAACATTACCACATTAATAAAACAAGTTTATAAGTTCAAAACAACTTAGGGTAATGTTCCTAGTCCATTTCTAACCAAAAACCTCGAAAATATGCTGTCTGGGGTCCAACTCGTCGAGTGCATGAACAAAACTCGGCGAGTTGGATGCATTTTGCCTTGGACTCGTCGAGTCCCTTCATGGACTCGACGAGTCTGCTGGGCTGACAGCATCAAAACTTGATTTTTCAGCTCCATTTGCAAGTATAACAAGAAAACAAGCCTAGGCTCTGATACCACTGTTGGGTTATGAGCATTCTAACACTCCTAAGTGTACATGCAACCCTAAATACCTTGGATCTATGTTTTCTCTATTATACATGCAAATATGAATATCCAAGGTATTATCCTAATCTAGCATACAAAACTATCAATATAACAAGATAGAATACATACCTTTTGTTAGTTCTTGTCTTCATGAAGCTTGAGTGCCTAGTGCCCCAAGTGTGACACCTCAAATGGTTTACACAACACCATAAGCACTTGGAATAACTTAGAGAGAATTCTACACTTCATGAAATCGGCTAGCCCTTTCTTACTCTCACTTATATCTGATTTTCCTCAAGAATAAGATGCTTATATAGTTATACAATTAGGGTAAACTCTAATTGTCATGACTTTCCATTTCCTTGGATCCATGGGTTCAAATACACCATGGAGCATCCATGGAGCATCATATGGGTTTTGGCCCAACTAGATAATCCATGGAGCATTAGCCCACTATATAAGTATGGATGATTTACACAATCAACCCATATATTTAATTAGTCTTCTTTTGATCACTTAATTAATCCTAGATTAATTCTTGATCAATATTAATTAAATAATCTTATTATTCTTATTATTAATATACTAGAACTTATAATATATTAATAACCATAAGTGTCTTATTTCTCTCATTATAGTCTATCCAAGTGCATGATGCCATGCAACCCAAATGGACCATGCCGGGTCGGGTCAAGTCTTACCAATTATAGTTATGGACTTAGACATTAATCCATTCTATCGCACCCCAGTCTGTTAGGGTGAGGTTGTGTAACGCCCGAGTTTCTAGGCCAGACATTTATATTGACATAATAGTCTAGGTTAACCTTTGAAACTCATTTTGAAGTAATGAAAAGGAATTATGTGAATATTATGTGTTTTATGCTTAATTACTAGGATTTAATTAATTAAGAATAAAAATGAGTGTCGAAAATAAATATTAGATAAAGCCGATATCTATTAAGAAATTTGTAGTGGTCGTGACAAGGACTACAGATATATAAAGGATGCCGAAATCCGAGTTATAACGAAGAAGTTATGACCTGTCGAAGTTTCGCGACAAAATCGGCACGACGCCGAATAACGTAAAAACTGAGTTTTTGATAAACTACTTTTTAGCCTTGATGATCTAAATGAAAGTTGTAGTGTTCGTTAAACTGAGAGTATGCATAAAAAGAACGCCCAAATCTGACTTCGTATGAGGAAGTTATGATTTTTCTAAGTTTTAGCTTAGTAGTAGACAGCTAAAAACTCGAATTTTAGATCGAGTGATATTTAGCCGACACAACCTAAATGAGAATCGAAGGTCTCGTGAATAGTAGTACAACGGTAAAAAGATAGACGAAAACAGACATCGGATGAAGATGTTATGATTTTTTAACGGATTTCTTGTCCCGTTCTGTTAAAAATAATAATATTAAAATTAAGCTCAAAATTAGCCGACGATGTCTAAAGGAAAGTTGTGGAGTGTAATTTCACCTACGCGTTCATATAAAGAACGTCAAAAACAGAGCCCGTATGTGAAAGTTATGGATTTTAGAAGTTTTGGCTCAATAATCGAGAGAAAAACACGAAATCCGAGAAATTTTGCATGTTCTGGAATAGGGTACGTCACCCTCGTCTGAATCTCGCCCCGTGTTCCGATTTGATGAGTCATCCAAGCAGCTGGCAACGCGTGTCGCACTCCCTCGCATCTGAAGCGTCGGTCCAATTGCGGAGCGACGCGTGCCCCTTTGCGTGTCCGAGCCTCGCACCAACCACCTGGAGCCTCGCATGTGCGCCACCTGCTTCGCTCCGTTGCTGCCACGTGTCCTTCAATGCTGCTGACGCCTGGCTCCTTCTCGGCCGACCTTTGAACCTCACCTATAAATACAAGGCTAGCAAGATTACTCGGGTAAAATTGAATTTTTGCCATTTTTCACCCATTTTTTCAATATTTTTATTACTTTCCACTACTAGAAAAACAACCTTTTACGATGCTCATTGCGTGTCGTAAAAGGCTTAGACGACGCGCAAATGCGCGTCAAGGAAGGCCCAGTCATAAAGAGAGACGACGCGCTTTTGCGCGTTGTCTATACACGATGCGCATTTACGATGCTCATTTACGACGCGCGTTTACGACACGCAATGCGTATCAAGGAAGGCCCTGTCATAAAGGAAGACGACATGCATTCGCGTGTCGTAACCTTACAACACGCATGTTAATGACACGCAATGCGTATCATTAAAACCCCTGTCAAGAAAGGTCATGTCATAAATTAAGATGACACGCATTTCTGCGTATCGTAAATTTAAATGTTTTAAAAAAATATATTTATATATTTATTAATTTGTAAATTAAATTTTCATTTAATGTCTCATAATAGAAAGAAAATACCATATACAAAAAATACAATCCATTGCATAAAATTTAATGTCATACAATTCTATTTCTTACAATATATAAATTTGCATTCATCTAATCTACTCTTTGTTTCATACTAACAATTGAAATAAAGAATGCAACACTTGCATTTGCAACTTCTTATCTCTTTCAGCTTGAGCTTTCTTTTCCTCTTCTAACTCAAGAGTTATTTGCTTTCATCAACCCTGTAAACACAACACAAAATCACTTGTCATTTTTATTCTACTTTTAAAATTAATTCTTATGAGGACATTCTACTTTTAAACCAACCAATCTAGCACATTTTTCAAAGAATATAATTTATAATTTTTTTATGGAAAGTACATTGCTATTTCTTGAATACAAGATGTTACAAACGGTGAAAGAGAAACCCTCTGTCCACTTCCACCGTGAAAAGCAGAAAACCAATCATTATATAGCATAGACACCTGGTTTTACAAGAATGAAGTTAATAATGATTAGATTGATAAATTAAGGAGTTAAAAATGAAGAAATATGATGTAATAAGATGAGAAAAATTATTAGGTAACAGGTTAAGAAGATATAAATGCACCATCATCATCCTTGTTGTGTTGGACATAGAACAAGATGCATACCAACCAGCTTGATGAACAACAAATCAAAATAAATAATATATCTTAATGTTAAATATAGCATTTACCTAGCACAACTTGGTGAAGATCATAAACATCCTTTCTAAAGTAATATATGAGTAACTATATATTTGTTCTAAGAAATGAGCACAATACTTTCTAATTTCATTTTAACATTGATATGCATAGAAACTTAGATTCTCTTGTACCAAATAGTTTCTTATTTACTCATAGTAGCAGTAACTATATCTTTGTTCTAAGAAATAAACACAATACTTTCTAATTTCAATTTAACATTGATATGACATAGGAACTTAGAGCTGATAAAAGATGAATACCTAATCCATATGTGAACAATCTAAACTGGCGAAGAGCTTGTCTAATGAACATCTCAACACCACTCACTACTGTAACTCCCACCTCTACAACCTCTTGCAATAGCTGTGTGTGTTTCTAGGTGTATAAACCGCATCAAATACAAGATCATATGATCTCAAGTTCTCCTGATCATGTCAAAAACATTTTAATTCATAATCCCATTTTCATAAATGCTAATAAGAAAAGAGAACCTTGGAAACTGGTGTCAGGTGTACATCTGGTTCCATGCCAATAGCAGAGCAATTTGCAAGAATTATTCCATTTTCAGGGCAATATGCATCCAATTGTTCGATAGGCAAAGCCTCCCCTGAAACTGCTCGTGCAAGAGACTCTGCTCTCTCTGTTTTAGGAATTTTATAAATTCAATAGAAAAGATTCACAACATTAACATTAAAAAAACACATCTTTTATGTAAGATAAATTGTGTGATTTTGGTTGTTTTTTATAAATTCAACAGAAGAGATTTGCAGTTACTTTGAATTAATTTGAATTACTTTGAATTAGTTTCAAAAAGACAAAAGATGTAATGAAGTTACTTTTTGTTGTATGTCAGATAAATTGTGTGATTTTGGTTGTTTGTTATGATTGGTCTGCAAGTATGAATGCTTGAAGGAGGCTCTGAGTAGATTGGGTTTCATTGGGAGTACCCGAAATAAGCACAATGTGATCATTTGTTCCTGAACGTGGCTCATGCACTACCACTTTTGCACTTGAAATCTGCTTTTACATAAAACCAAAATGCTTATTTATTTATAGCAATCAAAAAACCAATTTTCAATGGTATAACATAAAAGTATATGGAAGTAGAATTCCAATTCCAATTACATGTCTTAAACGAGTGAGGTTGCTTCCATTCTCCCCATAAACCAAAGCAATGACAGTTTGGGGTACTAGAATTTCCACACTCACATTACTCACTATAGCAGCAGATCTACCTACAGAAGTTGACCATGTGCTAATATCCTGTCCCATCTGCAATAAATAAAGAAACAATTCAATTCTCAAACATCAAAAATAGGAAGAAGAAAAAAGAAAAAAGAATATTACAAGAGGGTGCCATTTTCCAGGTGTAAGAGGACGATCTATGCTACTACTTGAGAGTTTGAGATTATCCATAGCTTGAGTTAAATTAGTATTATGCTGACTAGGATAATGTGACGTGGCAACAAAAGACTGATGATGTGTATATGTACCCTTTGTTGTTCCAGTTCCAGTTTCATGGCTATTTGACATTCTATTTGAGAATAAGTCGTTTCTTAGTCTTCCAGTAACACTTTATAAAGCATCTCTTACATTTATTATCTCTCCTGTCATCTTTTCTTAGAAATAAAAATAAAATTACAACAAATAATTTGTATGTATAGTAAATTGGTTAAATTCAAGAAATGGTGCTAACCAACACTACTTGATCAGTTTCAGGTGCACACATATGAACTTGATGATCACCAACTATCTTTATAAAAGCACCAATCATCTTTCTCATATCTGCAACTATGGACCCACCTTTACCCAACAGACAACCCATTTGGTTTTGTGAAATCACAAGTCTAGCAGAAACCTGGGCCCCACTTGATGATGCCATATCCATCCCCTTTTGAAACCCAGACTCCACACACCTATTGAATATAAGAATCACTGCATTTTGTGAAGCCGAAATTCGTGACTCTGCTGCACTCTTCTTACAGTTAAAAAAAAGGAAACAAATTTTAAAATGATAAATTATATAAATCATAGTATGAAAGTAAGTAAGTAGCAAACCTCCATTGCAGAAATGGTGATCAATCTTTCATCACAATCTAAAATGGGAGCTCCAATTGCTATATGGGCACCTGATTCGTTTTGAATAGCTTGAATGATTGTCCCTGATTTGCCTATCAAGCTACCCACTTTATCACTGGAATACAGAATCCTGAAAACTATTTCCTTCTGGGATTCCATGTCAGTAACTTAAATACTTAATGGGGAAAAAACATGACAACTACTTACATAGAACCAGCCATCTACTTTGTACTCAACTTCAACGTCTTCTCCAGCAGTTAATTTCATCTGCAATAATATATAAACAAATATGAATAACTAAAAAAGAAAATCTCCAATTCATGTGTTGTTTCGGTTTGACTTTCTTAAGAAGAAGGATAAAATGGAAAATAGTAGAAAAGTATTTCCATAAAAAGAAGGATAAAATGGATGGGAACTTGGGAAGTGAATAGAAGAACGATAAAAAGGATTTGAGCTCACTTTAAGCTCATATTATATATACAGATTTTTGATGAAGTCAGCAATTGAATTGTTTGTCAAATCAACATTCAAATCACTGCTATGAATATATATAAAATAAGTAGAAAGCATGAATTGTTGAGGTGGCAGATGAAGATGATGAAAAAACACCAAATGAGGAAGGTAGTCAAAGTCAAAGTGAACGTCAGAGTCAAAGTCCGAGCACGGAGACAGAAACAGAATGGGAAAGGGCAAATGAGGAAATCTAAACTGCAAAGTATTTAAATAAAATTTAAATTTAAATTCCAGATACACACAATTGTTTTTTTGGTAAAATAAAGAAAAAGAAAATGAGAATAACTAAATACCTTTGTTGAATTGAGAAGAGTGTGATCAAGATCCAACACAAGACAAAGCATTCGATCAGCAAACATCTTTTTCTGTTCTTCCATTCTCTTTGACCTTTACCTCTGAATAGCAGCCCATTGCTGGTCATCAAACCTTCTAAAAAACTTTTCAACATCTTCCTAACCGTTCAGAGGCTAAGACGGGCCCGACCCAACTTCCTCAGACGTGGGCCCAGTGCCATTCTGAAGATGACCCGGTTGGTGGCCCTTTCATATTTACAGAACTTGAATGGACTTGTCCTAGTTGTGATAAAGGTATCTGAATAGTCGCACTCGTTGTTGTAGACACAAATAAGTGCTTACAGTTCAATAATGAAGGGATTCAGATACGTATGGATGCTTTAGGGAATTAATCGTAGGTACAGATGTAACCAAATGTCCAGCAACATTGCTGAAATCAAACTTACCTAATTTCAATATCCAATGGGCTTGATCAGGAGCACCAACTAACAAAGTTGCCATGAATCCAACAAGTTGAGCAGTAAAATCTGATTTTGAATCTTGATTTACTTATTTAGAAGATGATTGACAAAAGAGAGACTTATAATCAGGCACATTCCCACGAGGGTAATCTTTCCACCAACCAATATTTATCACTCATAGCCACTGCATCATATAGAAAATAGAAAATTTTGTTCCATGAAAATCTTAATAAGGGGAGTTATGGAATTTGTGTAAGAAAGTCACCTGTTTGGCCACGAGATTGGTAGAAGTGATGATTACACGCATATTATCATCTCTTTGTTGAGCAAATAACTTAGGGTGATGACAAGCAATGTTGAGTTTCTTTTGGTCCTTACTGAAGGATATAACCTCAAGAAATTGAGGGTATCTGATATCACAAAAGAACTATGTTACAGAATAGTTGGTCAAAAATCATGGTCAAGAAGTCATTGACTTACATAACAACTAAGTTTGGAAAATCAGAGTAAGGTCTGAGGGTTCTTTTGTCAGGGCTTGAACTCCAACACCTGCATGAATTATGGCATGCGATTGAAAACCAGGCTCGACGACCCGCTGACCTCTGCCCATGGAATGGAAGGGGGGAGAGAAAAAGAAATTGGGACCAAAAAAGAAAACAAAATTTTGACTTATTCATCTTCATTTATTATCATATTGATGGGAGGAGAGGATTGCAATTACAGAAATCTAAACATGGAATAGCATATACCTGATTAGAATCACCCCCTCGACAAAAAGAAAAAAAAGGCGATGAGGGCCTTAGATGGAGTGTCGACATCGGTAAATGTTGATTCAAGCCTGAGAAATCGCTCCAAAGGGGTCGACAATGGGAGGGGAAACGATTTTCAATGTAAGATGGAGGACTAAAATCTGTTCGATTGCTTCGATTTACGCGTGAGATGCTGTAATTTCCCCTGTGTTCGTGTTCAGCTCCACTGCCCTGGGCTAAAAAAATTAATATATGATTAATTTTGGTCCAATTAAACTATAGCCACCGAAGCAAGAAGATATGGAATCTGTGATTAGGGTTTGTAGAGAGAAGGGAAGAAGAGAATGAAGTGAGATCTTGAAGCGGGGTATTTAAAATTTTTAGAATTTTAAGAGGAATTGATTTCCCCCTTAAACGCGCGTTTTGAGTGAAAAATTATAAAGCGACACTCACAGTGGACGCACACTTTAAATAAGCACCCTCCGTGTTTGTATTTTTTTTTGTGGGACAATAATTTTAGGGCACGCAAAAAATGTGTGTCCAATATTCTTCAAATTTCTAAAAATCTGATATTATTTTTAGAGCATGTCCTTTTGCGTATCATTAATCAGTGTGTGTCATAAAAAACGCGTCATTAAAGGTCTGTTTTCTAGTAGTGTTCACTTCCCTCGAAGCCCCGATATTATTTTCAACACTCGAAACACATCCCGAAGTGCCCGAAAAGCCCGATAAATTTATCTTTTCGGTTTTGAAGCTCCAACCTCGCAGAGCCCGGTTTTTCATTAAAACCCCCGGTTTTATTAGAAACGATCATTTTAGGAAACGAAGTGCTGCCCGATTATCATTAAATCAAGTGAGTGTATAGTCACTTTCATCTTACACATAGATATGAAGTATTTTATATAAAATACATGCTATGTCAATATATATTGCTTAGTTATTTGAGATGGATGATGAATGAATAATTTATACAGGTTTTTAAATTGTATATATGTATTTTTATCTACAAATATGTTGGGTAAAACATGGGCAGATGAATTAGATGATGTCTGATGAAATAAAAATTGATGCGAGTAGGGGTGAGCATTTAGACCGGCCCGGACCGGACCGACTCTTGGACTGGACCGGTTATGGAGAATTTTTTGGACCATGGATCGGACCAGATGAGTCGTGTCTGTGTCCATGTCCGTGTCCGGGTCGAGGTCCGGGTTTTCTGGTTTTTGGACCCGTTTGGACCGGTACAAGTTTAATTGCATAGAGTATAATAAGTAATCTACATTGATGTATAATATTATAACTTGCAAAATTAATACATTTCCGTTTCATGCCTAACTAATCTACATTGATGTATAATATTATAACTTGCAATTTGCAAGAATTAATTTTCCAAATAAAAGCAACTAACATATAAATCAAGTTCACCAACAAAAGTTAAAAAATTTTAAGACAAAACATACAAAAGTATTACCGTAACAACAAAAATCATAGTTTAAACTTTAAAATCAATCAAACTAATAAACTTCATAAACTCATAATCTAATCTTCTATTGGTCGCTTCCTCATATCATTGTCATCCATATGTAACATATTTAAATCTTGTGCAATATCTACATAAACACAAATGAAAATGTTGTTAGTATTTACTAAAAAATAATAATTGTATAAAAAAAGAATAAAGATTGTAATTTTTTTACCCAAAGCTATATCATCATCGTTCAAGATGTCATCAATGTTGTCAACTATCGGATTTGTAGACTTTATTATCCAATCTTTGGTGCATAACAAAGCTTCAACTATCAATATCGATAAACTAGTCTGATACTCACTTACAACTCTACCACATGTGCTAAATGCAGACTCGGAATTATAGCATAAAATAATACTAAAGAGCTGAAATATTTCAGCTTTGATAGCTCTACTTTGAAGGATTGTAACTCAGTAAATATAATACCAAAATAAACAAAATTATAGTTTAAATTTGTCTACAAACTATAAAATAAATGTTGGAAAAAACCAGAGGTCAATCCGACTTAAAACGAATGTGTTATGGGTGTTTAAAAAACGTCACATATTACAAAATATTGTTGAAAAGCTGAATTTTTTCAGCTTTGATAGCTCTACTTTGAATGATTGTAACTCAGTGAATATAATACCAAAAAAAAAAAAATTATAGTCTAAACTCATCTACAAACTGTAAACTAAATGTTGGAAAAAATTGTCGGTCAATCCGACTTTAAACGAATGGTTATGGGTGTTTAAAAAACGTCACAAATTACAAAATGTTGCTGAAAAGCTGAATTTTTTCAGCTTTGATAGCTCTACTTTGAAGGATTGTAACGCGGTGAATATAATACCAATATAAAGAAAATTATAGTCTAAATTCATCTACAAACTGTAAACTAAATATTGGAAAAAACCGTAAGTCAATCCGACTTATAACGAATGAGTTATAGGTGTTTAGAAAACATCACAAAATCTTAATCATGTCCAACCTGTTCTAAACCCGGTAAAAACCGGACTGGACCGGGAAAAAAACCGGACCGGACTGGAGAGAAATCTTAGAACCAAGAACCGGCCTGGGGGTCCAAAAAAACGGTTTGGTCTGGTCCGGTTCACCGGTCCGGTCCGGTCCACCGGTCCAAATGCTCACCCCTAGATGAGAGGTATCAATGTTTAAGATGATCTAATCATCTAGCAGAGCATAGACAACGACCACATACTACTTTAGATAGTCAAGTGGAACGTTAGCAGACTCGTAATCGGTAGGTATGTTTGAACTATATGTTCATAAGGTGTTCTCGAACTATATGTTCATTAGGTGTTTTTGAATTATGTCTTCATCTGATAGTTCTTCTTTTTGACACTATTATGTGTCGGGGTACCGTAGTACTTTATTAGTATTTTCCCTATACTTTTTATTTTGAAGAGCTTTGGAGTCTTCGTTTCTTTTATGAAGTGATCGGACGAGCTTCATGAGTCAGCGTTTCTGTTCACGATGCTGGATAGGGTGAGTTTGGGGGGGTAAAATACCTCACAATATTCAGATCACTGCTAGGCAAAGTTCGATGTTGCATAGGGTGAGTCTGGGGGTAACATACCTCACGATATTTAGATCACTGCTAGGCCAAGTTCGATGTTGGATAGGGTGAGTCTGGGGGTAAAATACCTCACGATATTCGGACCACGGCTAGGCATTGATAACTACCCCTGACTTAATTGTCTTGTAGTTCCTTCTTTTACGAACAAAGGTTTGTGGTGAAACTTATTACATTCCTCTCATTTGATGTCTTTACTGATCCTCGTTTGCTGCTAGGGAATTTCCAAAGCAGTTTCGTTAGTTGGTTGTTCATATCGATCCTTTAGGCTAGATCTAGTAAGATTATTGTATAAGATCAGTATGTGGGGATCAGCGTTTGTTAGTGCGTGTAGTATAAACCTCGGGAAGCAATGGACTTCATACACATTCCTTAGGAAAATTCCTTAGGAATGAGTAATAGATGATTCTTAGGGTAACTCCTTAAGAAATAAAGAAGATAATGGGGTTGGGTAATTGGGTTGATTGTTTGATGTTTAAACATAATAAATTTATTTATTATGGGTTGAAAACCCTATATGCTCACCAAGCTCCCATGCCTGACCCACTCAGTTTAGTTGTATCATAGGTATCGATACGATGTTGCTTTACACTGAGAGATTAAAAAGAGAAGTAGATCATTAGTGTAAATGAATGTAAGTTTTGTTTATGCTTATGTTTTTTATTGACAATGACATCCAAGTGATTTAAATGAATAAAATACCTTTTGTTCAGAAATGATTTCATAACATATTTATCATGTTTTTCTGGGAACAAATTCCGCAACACTTTCAATCAAAT